CACATATGTATAAAATAAAAATAAACCTCTTAAAAATATATGTTTGATGTTTTATCTAGTTGATAATATGCAGAAGGTTCACTAATCTATCATCTGAGAATACATTCCACACCTCCCAGTGAATGTATGAAATCACACCGAGTAATGATTTTTGTATCTACTTTGTTTAGTTGTAGTCATTCTTACTATATAATTTAGAAATGTCAATATATTTTTGGTTTGGTTTTTTTTTCTTCCTTACCAAATAAAACTTTTACCTTTTCTGTGAAGAGAATCACTTCTAGGCTGTCTTCAGGATCCAGGCTTCCAGCATCATTGCTCTTACATCATAAAGTCATTGATAAATACATAAAACTTGTTTGAACTCATGCATCTCAGTATCTTTATAGTTGGCCTGATAATCTCTGAAACCACTCCTCAGGCTTTTCAGACATCAGCAGGCTGGAATGTCACCGAGGCTGAACCCCCTTCATAATCAGCTTATAAAACCAGGAGTCAAACCCCAGGTCATTGACCACTGGTCAAAACAGGGAGATATGAATTGTCTGTCTGACCCTGGGTAGGGATATGACATTGAACTAAACACACACACACACACACACACACACACACACACACTGTATATGGTTATTTTGTTACTGGAGGCTTTCTAAAGGTTTAGCACTCTTCTCTCCCACAAGAACTAATTCAATGTGCCCTTTCGGTGAGCCTGCTGTCAAAATGAAAGTTCTTGTTTGAGAAGGGAACATAGCAGGCTGCCTGTTTCCAGTCTTTTCTCTCACCCTGTTTCCCTCCTGTCTCCCACCCCAAATAAAAACATTAAACACACACACACACACTCACACACATACACACACACACAAGATATCTAAATATGTAAGTTGACATAATTGTCTCTCTGGCTATTGTCACAATCCATCCTTAAGAATGCCTCATATTCTTCTACAATAACCTCCCTTTGCATTTTATACTATAATCTGTGACTCCCATCCAAATTCAGTCGATGGAGACCACAAGAACCAGGGAGCTAAGGAGAGGTCAGAGCAGCATGCTAATAACAGAGAATGAGGAGCACACAGAGGGTGGAAACAGAACTAAGATGAATCGGGTCCAGATGGTTGGTATGAGGTTTCATCATTCCACACAGATGGCACATGGTTTAAACCCTGCGAACTGCTTATACTTAGAATTTTCTGATTAATATTTTCAGACTGGCTGACTACAAATAATTGAAACCACAGGAAGTGAGGCTGGGAATAAAGGTAAAGAATTCAATGCAGTGTTGACAAATAAGTCTATTAATACTAAGTGTTAGCAACCTTGAACAATGCTGATGAAAATGGGAAATGATATGAACAATTTAGAAAGTAATTTAAAATTACTTTATACATAGTCCCAAGCCTCAAGACTAACAACTCCCTCTACAGATATTTACCGTGAATATATATAATATTCAACAGAAAACATTTAACGATTATTTATAGGGGTATTTTTCACAAGACAAAAAATATACAGGAGAACACCCCCAAAAGTCTAATAACTGGAGAATGGGTAAATATATTATTATATATTATTACAATAATATATCAAACTGCCATAAGAACTATAAAATTTTGTTGTAGGATTTCACATGCAGCAACTCAAGTACACTTTTGAGACAGCGCTAGTGGGGGAAATCTAGTCACTAAAGCCTACTTATACAGGAATGGTTTCATTCGTGAGATTCGAATCGCCTAGAGATACAGAAGAAAAAACGTGTTTGTCCACTGTGTATGTAATCAATCATCAACATAAATATTTTGTTTCTTTTATGCGTTGAAAAGAATGTCCTAGTACGTACTCACATTACTAGGCTGTAGGCACAACTGATTAAAATTTGAAAATAACAAGAGTGACCAGATGTACAGGCACTCTTGTATCAAACATGGTTTGACAATTCTGGTTCTAACAGATTAAATGCTGGCATACATAAGTAACTAGAAACAGAAGCAAGCACTCTTATTCTTTCTTACCTTAATTTATAGACAGATCCTTAGCTGTCTTTTGGTTGCTAAACACATATCGGGTTATTTTATATATTGTTTTCTGCACACTTCTAGCTTAGCATCAAAAGAAGAGCCAACACTGATCGTGAATTCTGACAAGCTTTGTGCAAATTACACATGATTACATGTGTAATCATGTATTCCAAACTCAGGCTTACATCTGAATGTTGACTACCTATTCATGAGTTTTCAGTTTCAGGGGAAAGTGGCTCTTTAAGAGCTACCAGAGGATACCAGTCCCACCTGGACTTTGTGTGGCTGAGAAAGGACTTCACCTTGTTTCATCCTTAAGTATAAAGATAAAGAAAAAAATAAAATCGCTACAATGAAAACAAAAGCTCTTCAGTGTCTCTAACACATCTTCCAAATCAGTGTGTCTGACCTTTTCTTAAAACCTTAGCCATCACAAGGGAACCAGTGGGGCGGGAGTCATGTGCTGAGGAGTAGTTAAAGGGCAGGAGAATTCACTGGTGTGAGAAGGGATTAGTGAGAGCTGGAGGAGAGAACCAGCCCCTCCCAGTGTGAGCGATCGTCTGGGATTTACTGTCTGGCAGAAACCCATATGCAATTAACAGCTGGCACCAGGGGACAAGCAGACATCCAACACTGGCTCAGAAGGAGGACAGCAGAGAAACCCTCCTGAAGTTGAAGGTACTGGTGAGCAGGTCTGTTGGGGGTCAACTGTGGCCAAAGCTGAACTGGGATAAAGGAGATTTGCTTGCTAGGTGCCTGCTCCCGATTTCCCTTTCAGATCCATGGTTAAATGTTAGTATGGTTGTCACTAGTAGATGCTTTCAGTAAATGATATCCAGGTTAAGTCTTTTTAGATTAGCTCTGTCTTCTTTTTAAATTATGTGTTTGCATATAGATATGTGCACATGAGTGCAGATGCCCATAAGGAGCAGAGGGGAACCCTGGGAGCTGCAGTTACACGGTATCATGAGCCACCTGATGTTGGCACAAGGCGCTGAACTTAGTTCCTCTGAAGGAACAATATATGCTCTTAACCACTGAGCCACTTCCCCATCCCTAGAACTAGATTCTTGCAAGTAGAAGTTTTACATAAGAAAACTCAAATACCAGGAGAATGGATTCAGTGATCTAGGTATTTTGCTTGATATTTAAAAGTAAATTGTTTTTATTTATTTTTAGTAATATTGTTTCACATGGAAGGACTCCATTTTGGAGTAGGTTGGGAACAGTATTCAAAAAAAGTTTTGTAACTCTGTTTGCCTTTTTTTTTTCAGCTGGCTTTGATCTAGGTACCTCAGTTTCCTCCCTGCAAAAAGCAGCATACTAGATCTGTATCCATACTCTATCTGTATCTTGTACTCTTCTAGAAGAATGAAATCTTACGAAGTCCTCCCCCTGGCTTCTATCTTCCTCTCCCTGATGCTTTTTCATCAAACCTGGGCTCAGTTTCCACGAGAGTGTACCAGTGTTGAGGCTCTGAGAAGTAGAGAGTGTTGCCCAGACCTGTCTCCTTCCTCTGGACCTGGGACTGACCCCTGTGGCTCATCGGCAGGAAGGGGAAGGTGTGAGTCTGTGACCGCAGACTCCCGGCCTCACAGCCCCCATTACCCCCACGATGGCAAAGATGACCGAGAGGGCTGGCCTCTTAAGTTCTTCAATAGGACATGTCAGTGCAACGGCAATTTCTCAGGACACAACTGTGGGACCTGCCGTCCTGGGTGGAGAGGAGCTGCATGCGACCAGAAAACTCTCGTAGGTGAGTGGAAAGATGGGGGAGGCAGTTTCACTCAATTACAAGGTTATACACAATATACAGAACCTGAATCGCTTACATCAGGAAACACCTACAAATCATAAAGCTCAACTATTTTTCCCTAGTTAAGCAAAAGGAAAATTAAGAAGTTGAAGAACCTTGTCTGGTATAGAAATTTGGGATTGAACCCACCCACATTTTAACTAATAGTGTTTCCATGGGTCCGGAGAGATGGCTCAGTGAATGGTAAGAACACTTGCTGCTGAGGCAGAAGAACCTGACTTCAGGTCCCCAGTACTCACTTAAGGAACTGGGTATGGCCACATGTGCCTGTAACCCCAGGCCTAAGGGTGAGAGACAGGTGAATCTATGGAGTTTTGAAAAACCACAGGTCTAGCCAAAATGTCATGAACGCCTGCAAGAGGCCCTGCATCAGGAAAGTGAGGTGGAGAGTGATAGAGAGCATCTGACACTCTCCTCTGGTCCTCACACACTTGTTTATGTCATCTCCACACACAAGTATTTCCTTCAAAAATGCTTGAGCAGTAACTATGTGTTGGGAACTGATTTTGTATCACTAGAGGTGTTTATGCTAATCTTTGTCCATTAGATGCAGAAAGGCCAAACTCATCGATTTGGACCTTTGGCAAGCATGGTATTCCCACTGAGATCTATCTAACTCTAACAAGGCAGTCTCTCCTCTCTGAGCTGCCATGGGAACCATAGTTCCTCACAGTGGTGATGGAATTCTTGCATTTTAGATGAAGGATCAAGTGTGTGGAGCATAAAACAGTAATAGCAGCAGCACTTGCTGGTTTTACATGTCTCAGACAATGACCAAGGGTTTCACAGACTATCTTTTGAGACTTTATTATCATCCACATCCTGGTCTAAGTGTGGTGTGTGTGTGTGTGTGTGTGTGTGTTTTCTCTTTAATCTTTGTGTCTTTGGAAAACAGGAGTTCATTTTATTCAAATACCACAAAAGGAAAATTGAGCCTAAGAAAATGTGCCAAAATACAGAAAACTCTGTTTTAACCACTATGCTGGGCTCATCTGCCTTGTTTTTATAAGATTTATGATGTTTAGAAAGTAGAAAATTCCACTGTGGAGTGGTGACACATGCCTTTAATCCTAGAAGCCAGGAAAAGGAGGCATGGGGATGTCTGACTTTTGGGACAGCCTGGTCTACAGTGTCACTTCCAGGATATCAAGGCTTACACAGTGAAATCCTGTCTCAAAAAAAAGTAGAAAATTAAAACAAAAAACGCCAATAGTGAACAAAAATAAATATGACAATATCGCAGAACCACACATCCTCATGTAAGATTTAAAAAGATTTTAAAGACTCAAGAGTAAATGTTGCAGGGTATGCACCATAGAAGACTGCCTGAACAAGGCTTTAGAACGTCTTTATTAGCTGGCCAGTGACTACACTGAGTACTCAGGATGCCAGTGTAGCCCTGAGCCTTCCTCAGGGTGAGCTTTTATGCACAAAAACCATGTTCTGTGCTGGGATAATTCAGTTAACAATATCAGTTAGTCAGAAGCAGAACTACAGAAACTGAAAAGAAGAGCTAGTACATTTATAGATCTACCCAAAGCTCTGTGGACGTCGATGGATTAGGCCTTTGTTTTAGTTTTGGCAGGTGGTGTTTTCTATGTGATGAGTTTTATAGACTGATTGGTATTTCCATCATGGAGTTGGTTGTAATAAGGTCTCAGGACCTACTAAGATCTGGGGCCCCATTAAAGTAAATTGCTGAGAAAAGAGGGAATGGTAGAGAGATAAGTCTAAACAACGGTTTACATTAGGAGTGTTTTTAATAACATACAGATTGGGAATCCATAATCAAAAATTCCAAAATTCTTCAAACTCTACAAGTTTCCAAGCCCAATATAGTATCACAAATAGAAAGTCCCATACTGCTAAGCTTTGTTTTAAACACAAACTGATGAAACTATAGTTCATATTGTCTTGGGCTATGTGTATAATGGCGTGTATAATGGAGTGTATATGAAACAAATGAATTTTACATTTCGCTTTGGACCTAATCCCAAAAATATAATGTACAAGAAAATATTTCAAAATCTGTAAACTCAAAACCTATCTGGTCCCAAGCATCTTGGAAATGATATTTAAGCAGTTAAATAGCTTATAAAAGATCTGAATGGGAGCACATATGAACTAATGGACACTGGAGGGAGCACAGCATGTTGTAATATGATTGTGCTGATTTTCACAACTTAACATTTCCATCCTTAAAGTCAGGAGAAATCTTCTTGACTTAAGTGCAGAAGAAAGGAGCCACTTTGTGAGAGCCTTGGATATGGCAAAGCGCACAACGCATCCTCAATTTGTCATTGCCACAAGGAGGTCAGAAGACATACTGGGACCAGATGGCAACACACCACAGTTCGAGAACATTTCCATCTACAACTACTTTGTTTGGACACACTATTATTCTGTCAAAAAAACCTTCCTTGGGGTAGGGCAGGAAAGCTTTGGCGATGTGGATTTCTCTCATGAAGGACCAGCTTTTCTCACATGGCACAGGTACCATCTGCTGCAGCTGGAGAGAGACATGCAGGTATGTTCCGTCTTGGTTTTTAGGTCCCTACGTGTAAATAAATCATTGGGATTCACTTTGTGCTGAATGACAAGAATGAGCTGTGACAAAACAATCACGTTGTCAGGATACTTGTGACTTCCAGGTAAGATTCTTCCCACAACCTTGATCTTTTGTGCAGTGAAATGAAAGAATGCTAATGATGAGAAAAACAGTGGAGACCTTGTTTGGCCAAGAACTGAAAGTTTGGAAATGATTTAGGAAACAATGGAATTGTCAGCTTCCAGCCCTTCGTCCTGACCTGTAGAATGCATGCAGGTGCCACCTCCTGGGAAGGGGTGCACTGTGCCTTGCTCTTCTATCCACACATAGCCCCTCAAACAGCTGATGGTTCTAAAGTCAATGGTTCCTTTCATGTCCACTGAACTAAACTTTTTCATATTCCCTACCACTTTAAGACTTACAGAAGAGCCCCACACAAAAGCATCACATAAATAAAAACTGATGGGTGTGTTCATTTTCTTGGGGGTAATAATCATTTTACTCCATTGTGTGTATGTGTGTGTGTATATATATATGCATATATAAATTCATACATACACACATTCAAATATATCAAAATATCATTTTACACACCTTTAATATATATATATATATATATAGTTTCTAAAAGGACCTCAAAATGGCATATCTTTAGAAACAAATTGTCATTTGAAAACTAGCATTTTGGAGAGGAATGTAAAGTAGACCTCAAACAAGCACAGTAACTTCAAGCCTTTTTTATAAGCAGATACACTCAAAAGACACTAGAATATCTAGTATGGTAAATATATAACTGCTGCCTTTTCACTAACTTAACAAATACTTGAGAAAAGTACTGTCATTCAGAAAGTGAATGGTTTAGGGACTGCGAGGTTAGCTCAAATAAAGAGCAGTTGCCTAGCAAGCAAAAGGCCCTAGGAGCAGTATCCAGCCCCAAATAAAACTGCTTATTGTTGGATCTCAATTATTCAGTCTGTAAACTCAACTAGCTTCCTATTTGAAGCATTAGTCATGAATCTCAATCCCAAAGTTAAAGTCTTAAAATTCACTAATATCTTCTTTAAAAAAAAAAAAAACTGTTGAATTTCGGGGCACTATGCTAGCATTTCAAGGAAAAGCAGTGGTTGGGCGGGACAGAGTGACGCCCTGCAATACAAAGATAGCTGACAGGAGTCTGTCCGTATTTACTTCGCACTGCAATACAAAGATAGCAGACAGGAGTCTGTCCGTATTTACTTTGAAGGTGATTAAATGAGTCCATCCACTCCTCTCAGCATCGTATTTAAGGCTCTGTTTACAGGGAAGACATTTAATAGATTGTGAGTGGATAAATCTGCCATCAGTAACAGACTGTAGATCTTCATCCTCTCAAGGCATTTTCCCAATGGCATATGAGAATTTGGAAAGGTGGGCAGGAAGTGTCTCCAGCCTGAACTCTGCTGTTGTAACTTCCACCTCGATGACTTCCATTTTCTAGCACAAGGCATCATCACGTTCCAGGCTACCTGTGACACACAACACCATATGAATGTGCTCTGGCTCCCAAATGTCAGCTGCCCAGTCACAGTTGGTCTTGACTTACAAAGAGCCCTTGGCAGTTGTCACTAACTTTTGTAAAGCACAGTGATTATTTTTGTATGAGTAATACAAACTTTTAGTGATCAACAGCTGGGGGTACCTTGAAAAGCTTCTGAGCCCGAAAACACCCAAGAATAAGGAGCTGCCTTCCAAAAGGGAGACACAGGAAAGGAGCAGAAAGACACAGGCCCTTGAAAGTTACCTAAGGTAAAAGCAGCTCTGCACTAAATCTCACCCTCTGAAGGAGGCAGTGTTTTGTAGCAGCAGACCCCACCTCCCAGGATAGCTTAGACCCAAAATAATCACACAAAAGCTAGATTAATTAAATCACTGCTGGCCCATTAGCTCTTGCTTCTTATTGGCTAATTTCTTACATATTAACCCATTTTTATTAATCTGTGTATCGCCACATGGCAGTGGCTTTCCGGCAAAGTTCCCAGTGTCTGTCTCAGGCAGCTCCATTGTTTTCCCTAACTCCGCCTTTCTCCTCCCATGCCAGTTCTTTAATCATTAACCAATAAAAGCAACACATAGACAGAAGGACCTCCCACACCAGTGTTTTAAGGAGCATGCGTCCTTGGTCTCAAGCATTTTCAAAAAGTGTGAGATGGTTTCTAAGTGGAAACTAGGTCACTGGTCTTAAAAACAACAGGCACAGAATTCATTCTGAATCTGCTTAGCATTTTGTCTGTAAGCTTCAGGCAGACTCCCGTCTTCCTAGTGCAGCTTTGCAGGGTAGGTCTCTAAACAAAACTTTTGAGCTTTGCAAACAGAATCTGTATGAGACAAAATATGCAGTCTGTCAGCAAACCAGACTCTACCTAACTACAGTCATTCAGACCACATTCAAAACAAAACCCCAATACTTACTGTTCCACAAATCATTTCAAAACTGAGGTCACATGATGCGAAGAATTGGCAGTGCTTCCATTAAAAACAGGAAAGTGGAGCCAGGCAGTGGAGGTGCAGGCCTTAATCCCAGCACTCTGGAGGTGAATCTGTGGATTTGAGGCCAGCTTAGTCTACAAAGTCCACAACAACCAGAACTATTACACAGATCTTGGCGGAGGGAGAAAGGGGAGAGACATGTAAAAATAATAGGAAGGCAAAAGAGATAGAAACATCAAAAATTTTAATAAAAGCAATAGAAATACAGTTATCTGCCAACAATGAAAACAGTATTTCCCCCAAATTATTTGTAGAAATTTCTTCAGGAAGTGAGTTTCATTGCTTCTACTACCTATATGAGTCCTCCAACTAAATTACAAACTTTGTTCAATAAGGTCCTTAACTTCTCTGGGATCCTAGATATTATTATTGCATGCACTGGTTCTTTAGCACATGGAGAGAGCTAACAGAAAAGGACACCAGAGTCAAGCAAGCCAAGAAAAAAGACGTAAGTAGAAACAGGGACCACTAATGGATTTCTGTGATCTAGGAGATGCTGCAGGAGCCTTCTTTCTCCCTTCCTTATTGGAATTTTGCAACTGGGAAAAATGTCTGCGATATTTGCACCGATGACTTAATGGGATCCAGAAGCAGCCTTGATTCTACTCTTATAAACCCCAGCTCTGTCTTTTCTCAATGGAGAGTGGTCTGCGAGTCCTTAGAAGATTACGACACCCTGGGAACACTTTGCAACAGTAAGACCCGAATGACAGAGATACTATTCACTATTCTTTATTAGATAAAGTGATTGTGCTCCTGCAAGGCCTGTTTCTTCAGAATGAATCCTGCTGCCAGTGCAGGTGCACACTGAGCACCAAGGAGATGCAAAGCAGTGTACACGGTGCTCCTGGGAAATAAGTATCTGTGTATGTTATTATTGTTCTTCAGCAATTTGATCAGTACATTGCTAACTTTAGTTTCAAAAATCCTAGAGTACATTAATCCTCTTAACACACTAAGCACTACTTAGCAGTCATGTGTCTTGGGTTGGGGTTTTACTGAAAATATCCTGCAAGAATATCTGAAATATGCAAAAAATTAGTTGGGAGTGCTCTGGGAGCAGAACAAGAAGGAAGCAAAAATAAAAGGAAAATTCCATGCTTGTTCAGAGAACCAACATCCAAAAGGGATACTTTTCATAGGGATACAAGCGAGAAAAGAAAGATGCCTGCAGACTCAGCTCCAGCTCTCCTGAAGAGAACATACACAGCTCTGACACAGAACATTTCTGCTGTACACTGGTCTGTTCATGAGCTTCCCATTTTCTTCCATGAAACACAGTTACCCTCTCTGTGCTAACACAGTCTTAATTGTTGGTGTTCTCTATTATTTCTTGTTTTTCTACTTCAGGCATTTCCAGAAAAAATATTTGATTTTCCATATGAAAAATAAGATTATGATTTATTATTACATATGTGATATATTATTCTGCTTGTATTTTATGTATAAATTTTTGTATTTCTTTAGGCACTTAAAAAGAGAATAGTTTAAATATATTTAACTGAGTACATTTTTATCATTAGAAAAATATTTAGTTTTGTACTAATATAAGAAATGTGATAATACATGAATATTTCCTTAGCAATCTAACACCTGAGCAATTGGTTCCACCTTGTGACAGAGGAATGAAACTGAAGGTCACAGTGTCTTCATATACTAACTCATGCGTCTTTCTCACCAGGCTTATTGTGCTTAGGACTGGGAGTTCTTAGATATTTTCCTGCCATGTTGGTGGCTAGACATAATCATGTGGCATGTGTCTGTCTGTGTGTGTTCATGTTCATGAGTGTGTAAATACACATGTGTATGTGTAAGCCATAGGCCACCATCAATTGTCATTGTTTTAGCTCTGTCTGCCTATTTTCTTTTAGTTTTGAGACCGTGTCTCACTGTGTAGCTCTAGCTGGCCTGCATCTCACTATGTAGCCCATAGAGATTTAACTGCCAGGCTCTTTCCGTCTCTCAAGGGCTGTGATTAAAGCCAGGCTTTAGGCTCCATCTGACTCTGGAGCAGGGGAGTGGGGAAGCAATGTTTCTTACTGCCCCAGAACGCATCCATGACTCACTACAAGCCTGGGGCTCTACCTGTCTCTGCCTTTCCAATGCTGATATTGCAAGTGTGCCCTGATGTACTTCACTTTTTTTTTTTTTCCTGTGGGATCTTGGGTCAAACTCAGGTCTCTGAGTTTGACTATCTTCCCAGTCCAGAAAGAAAAAGAAAATTTAAAGCCCATGAAAATACGACATAAAAGGAAAAAATAACAGCGAAAGTATTTTGTTTTGTCATAGGTTTTGCTATCACTCTATTTAACAAACCTCACAATTTCATGAAAATTGAAGAGTACTTTTCCTTTTTAAACAAATTTTAAGATTGTCCACTGTGACAATTCAAGATGTAAAAATTAAACATCATGTTTATTGAACATGGTAAAAAAATCTCGGGAGGCAGAGGCAGGCGGATCTCTGTGAGTTCGAGACCAGCCTGGTCTACAAGAGCTAGTTCCAGGACAGGCTCCAAAGCCACAGAGAAACCCTGTCTTGAAAAACCAAAAAAAAAAAAAAAAAAACTGGCAAGACAGTCAAGTAAAAGTAAAAGCTGATGTTGTTAAGGCTGACAACCTGAATTCAATTCCTAGAGCCCACATGGGGACTCTGTGATCTCTAAATGTGCACACATAGACACACACACACATTTAATTTTGAAAATCAAACATAATAAAGAATACAGGAAGACACTACCAATCACATCATATTTCTCATACAATATGACATTCTTACTATATGTCTTCTTTTTTTTTTTTTTTTTTTTTTTTTTTTGGTTTTTCGAGACAGGGTTTCTCTGTGGTTTTGGAGCCTGTCCTGGAACTAGCTCTTGTAGACCAGGCTGGTCTCGAACTCACAGAGATCCTCCTGCCTCTGCCTCCCGAGTGCTGGGATTAAAGGCGTGCGCCACCACCGCCCGGCACTATATGTCTTCTTAAACTCTCACGGAAATTATTTCTTTTATCCTACTTCTGTCTGAGAAGATTTTATTCATTTCTATAGTTTCATTGACATCTTTGGGAGACTGTAACATGCATATTCTTAGATGGACATTTCTTTAGAAATTCCAGACACACTGTTATTTACTTGTTTCATGAAATGTAGTGGCTGGGAAATTGAGTCAGTGACACCTGACATTCTTTCCACCCTCATAATGCATCTATGATTCGTCATACAAAAAGTGATGGTTCTTTCTTTACAGAATTTTTCAAATCTATTTTTCCCTCACACATTCTGAACTTCTCATTCATTCCAGTGTGGAAACTGTACAAGTCTAGAATTCATAGGACATTAGTGACTGAATTAGCAGAGGTTGTCCATGTTCAACTAAATTTGAAAACCACTGAGATAAAATCAAAATGGCTCTACCAATTTCTTTTACTACCCAAAGTCTCAACAATAAAATATCAAAAGGTGAACTAGGGTGTGGTTTCTTGCAACCAAAGTAGACCATACTTCCAAGCCTCATGGGATTTATTTATAATTCCCCAAATACAGCTAAAAGTTGAACTTTAGATTTAGTGATGCCTGAATGTTTTTGAGTATAGTCTATACTGCAAACTGTACGTGGCTACTGCACTCCTAACAGACAGAGGTCTATGTTTTATTGCTATGGTATTTAATGGTTGTTATGCTAATGCAACAGATAGGGGACATTGTGCACAGGATTCAATATAAGACATTTGTGAATGAAAAGAGAGACCAACTGGAGCTGCAGTGCTGTCCCCCGCAGGCCAATGGGCTATCTGCTTTGTCCTTGTGGAGCACTTATGAGCCTATCAATCACCATAGCGAGCCGTAAAATGTGCTCTTAACCATTCTTTCTCTGCCCCACTCACCGCAGTTCCTCCATTTCCCAGTGAATTAAGTGTTACTTTCTGAGCTTGGAACCTGATTTCTTCACAATGTGGCTCTGGTCTAACTCCATCATTCCCTACAGCTTGCTCTGCGCCTTGCAAGCTCTTCACCAAAGAGCCATAGCAAAGTGTGCACCAACTCCTTGTCAATCCTTCCTGGAAAGCAGCTGGCACTGTGCCAGGATTGATGAGCACGCTTATGTGCTCATGAGACAAACAGAATGAAGCGTACGGTGTTCTGCTACTGTCCCTCTCTAGACTACACGCTTTACAGAATTTCTCTGACTTTACTTACAGAAGTTCTTCCACAGTCATTTTGTCATTTAGAGTTCCTGGAAAATGTATTCTTTATGATTCTCTCTCTCTCTCTCATCTCTCTCTCTCTCTCTCTCCCTTTCCTCTCTCTCTCTCTCTTTACCTTTCTTCCCTCCCTTAAGGCATCCATACTACCCTTCAAAAAGTTTATTGATGACATTAATTTATTTTTAAAAAGGTGGAAAAAATTTTTGATTGAAATAAGCACAAAATTCCAAGGAGATTTGGGGGTATTTTTTCTTACCTCTCTGAAGACTTGTAACAGATGGCATTTGGGTAAAATTTTTCATATTTTAATGTTTCTGTTTGTTTGTATTTTTGCCTGTTTGCTTGTTTGTTTGAGACAGGGTTTCTCTGTGTAACCTTACCTGTCCTGGGATTAGTTTTGTAGGCAATACTGGCTTCAAACTCAGAGGGCCACTTGCCTCTGCTTCCCAAGTGCATGTGCTACCATGGCCTGCTTTATATTTTAGTTTTATATTTAGCTTTATAAGATTATTCTTAACAAAACTCAGTTTCTCATGTTCTTATATTCTTTTAATAAAGCTTGTTGAATTTAGCAGCATGCAGACCCATGTCTGTCAACGTGATTATTGTTTTCTTCCAATGTTTTGATATATCAGGTTGTCTCAGTTCACAGAAGCAGGACAGGGTTATTTAAATGTTTTTCACAGTGAGCGTGTCTTTTCCTAGTTATTCCACAAGGATCTAATTTTCAGTATTTTCACTGTATATGAAAGAGCAGTAGCCAGACCTGTAGACATTCTCTAACTGTGTGCATGCCTTTCCTCCCTAGGCACTGAGGGTGGGCCCATCAGGAGAAACCCAGCTGGGAACGTGGGGAGACCAGCAGTGCAGCGTCTTCCTGCGCCACAGGATGTCACCCAGTGTTTGGAGGTTGGCGTGTTTGACACACCTCCTTTTTATTCCAATTCTACAAACAGTTTTCGAAACACAGTGGAAGGCAAGTAAACAAACAATTGAAAAACGGGTGTTTTGAATTAATCTAGTTAGGAGAGTAAGTTGGAGAGCCCCAAATTGGATGTTTTTAAAAAGCATTTGGATGCCACATTGATCACATGGGATTATATGAATTGACTGTTGATTTTGATTTAGTCACAATTTCAAATTCAAAAGTAAGGGGAATATCAGATTATATTTGGTTATCAGAGAAAAAAATCATGGAGAATTATTGTTTCAAACCCCTTAGATTTCTATAGTCTTTCCAACTTAGTGCCTGGCAGTTAGTGGGCTTCCTGTGTAATGAGGTCACAGTGTAGCATTACAGGTAACTTTCGTAATCATCAAATTGTTTCTTTTTAAAAGGTAAGATTAACAATTTAAATTCCAATTGCTTGACAGCCTGTAAAGTCTGGTTTGGGCAGTTTTATTTGAGTTGAAACACTTTATAACAAATGTTAAAAGTCTATAAAAATTAAATAAGTGTCTACTGAGGTTTAGCTTGATTTTCCTCGTAGCAGTCGAAGTATTTTTAAGTTGAAGTAGTGCAGTTCAAATAGGTGTAGTGCCTTTCTGAGACAGCCAACGATAATGCATTCAAATTTCTAGAGGAGTACAATTATGTCTAACTTAATTTTAAATTTGTTACTATTGGAATTCCCCTTGAGTGCCAGCATCACACCGGTGCTATGCACCACCCTCCTTTCAACAGGAATGATTCTCTCTCTTCTGTGTTCAGAGATACGTAAGCTGTAACTCCAATCACTAACTTCAAATTTATTCCCTTTTGCTATCAAATTTGTACACTCTCCTTATGTTTATTTAAGCATATTAATTCACCAACAGAATTGGCTCAATATTTACTCCATATGGATACTAGACTGATATCTATAAGAATACAGTACTGATTTTTAAAAGCAATATGCTGACTATGTTCCCTGAGTCAAAAAACTAGGAGAATGAATGAATGAATGAATGAGTAAATGAATGAGCGACTATATAGACATGGAAGTTCAACCCAATGAGATACACTTAACTCTATCACAGATCACAAGCCCCAGCTGCTTTCTGACCTAAACTGGCATTTATCCTCATCTGCCTAATATGTAGAGGGATTTAAAAATTCTCTAAATATTTTAACAACAATCATTCCAGATTTTTTAAACTATGTAGAAAAAGAGAGAAATTGAGGGCATTTTAGCATCCCCACAAAATTAATTTTCTGAAAATAAATATGCTGGCAGTCATTAAAAAGGAGGGAGGTGGGAGAGTTTGCAGGTCAGTGACAGCAATGCTCTCAGTGGTGGAAGCAGTAACTGGGGGATTTTCACTGTCTTGGTTTCCATGCAGAAAAGTCTGTGCCTTGTCAAAGTTCAGCACTCATATATTTTGACTGCTGTCTTTTGCGGGTTGTTATTGTTAACCTAGAAGCTACATTTGGAATACCACACCACCAGCTCAGAACTAACCTAGTTCTGAGTATAGCAAGCAAATGTCATCAGCCATTACTACAAGGGGCAACACTATTATACTGAGGCAATATTTAGCCTGGCGAGCTGTGAAAAATAGCTTCCTAATATAATCTATGCTGTTGACTCACAATGTTTTCTACTATATTCATCCTTACTTTAAAATATAGGTTACAGTGATCCCACCGGGAAATATGACCCTGCTGTCCGAAGCCTTCACAACCTGGCCCACCTCTTCCTGAACGGAACAGGAGGACAAACCCATCTGTCTCCCAATGATCCGATTTTTGTCCTCCTGCATACTTTCACTGATGCAGTCTTTGACGAATGGCTGAGGCGGTATAACGCCGGTGAGGTGCTTTTATATGATTTTGCAGGCTTCGCAAAGGGATTATTCTGGTGGTGTTGCTATCAATATAAGCTAGCACTTGACAACCATAAAATAGGCTGCAAAATAAAGATGCAGTAGCTCTCCCATCCAGCCATTGCCAAATACTGAAAACCACATTGAATACTGTGGAAGTCTCTCAGTACTGTTACCATTAAGATGTCACTGCTGGCATTCCTGTCATGAAAAGATAACTCCCATGTGCTCCAAGTTTTTCCTACCCATATTTTCCAACAAACCTTCTCATTTCCTTTTAATATAAATAGAAGAAAGGTACAGACCTATTCTTGGGTTCCACAAAACACTAAACATGCCATATCCGTAATCTGTAATTCTGAGTTATATTACTTTATGGCCTCAAAAAAAAATGAAAATTTGATCGTCTTGAGAAGTTAAGAGTTTTTATGTCATGCCATAGGAAATCTCTTTCAAGTTCATTTCACTGCATTCTTTAAAATATTATTTTAGAGACCTCATTTACTGCGTTCCTACTCAGCCAAGTGAAGTATGTTGCTTTTCAAAACCATGAAAGTGCTTCCACTAGTTTAAACATCATAAATTTTCATGTTTTGGAAATGTTCTGAACTTTAGCTTCTGTGCTTTTATCATGCACACACAGTATTGAAGGTTAGCTCTCTTTTGCTTTATCTATCCAGCGAGGGCCTCACACTTCTTTATGTAGATCAGAAAGCTCTGTTGCAACCTTTCCAGACCAACAATCCATGTGTTGATCAAAATGTTATTCTGTCAGAAATCATTTAAGAAACAAGTAATTTGTCATTTATGGTAGTGACTATAATTCCAGTACTCAGAAGTTGGCCAGTGTTATACAGGGAGATGTGATTTGGGAGTGACTTCTTTCTAATCTGTTGCTTTCATTGGTTAATTAATAAAGAAACTGCTTGGCCCATTTGATAGGCCAACCCTTGGGTGGGTGGAGTAAACAGAACAGAATTCTGGGAGAAAGAAGCCGAGTTGGGAGTCGCCATGATTCTCCCACGCCAGACAGACGCAGGTTAAGATCTTCCCTGGTAAGCCACCTTGTGGGCTACACAGATTATGAGAAATGGGTTAGATGAATATGTAAGAGCTAGCCAATAAGAGGCTGGGCCAGGTAGTGTTTAAAAGAATACAGTTTCTGTGTAATTATTTTGGGTGTAAAGCTAGCCGGGTGGCGGGACATAGCCCGCCGCCCATATTTCAACAGACGCCAAGTGTATCGGCGTAAATTAATGAAATTGACAGACAGACAGAAATTGTAATAAATATATACAGCTTTAATTGGGAAATAGACTTACAGAACCAGAGGTTCCAGCAGTGAACAGGAAAGCAGAAGGGGCGGCCTGGAGTGCACCCACAATCTTTATAAGTAAGAAATATCCTCGGGGGACCCCACCCTACAAGTAAGGTGATTGGCTGGGTCTCTCCTACAAAGATGTCTCAAAAAAATGAATTCAGACAGGCAATTCACACATAAATACTTGCAAGGTTATGAATTTATTAATTGGTATCCTGCTTCATATTTCATGTGTATTTAAATACATAACAGCAACAGACAATGAATTTCTTACTTATAATGTTACTTTCTGTCTCAGTCACTGTTCTATTGCTATGAATAGATACCATCACACAGACAACTCTTATAAAAGAAAACTTTTAATTGGGTGCTTACTTAGTAGTTTCAGAGTGATGGTCCATTATCATCATGTGGAAAGCAGACAGGCATGGTGCTGGAGCAGTAGCTTGTAGTAGGAGCTGCGGGCCTTTCCCACAGCCCGGCTCCTAGCCGCCTGGCTTGCTTATGCCCCGAAATAACAACACACAAACTGTATTCTTTTAAACACTGCTTGACCCATTAACTCTAGCCCTAACTGGCTAACTCTCATATCCCGATCAACCCATCTCTAATAATCTGTGTAGCACCAGTCTTACCGGGAAAGATTCAGCATGTCTGACCTGGCAGCTTGCTTCATCGCTTCTGCCCGGGAGAGGGGAGCATGGCCTCTGTCTGAGGCGTCTCACCTCACTTCCTCTTCCTCCCAGCATTCTGTTCTGTTTACTCCACCCACCTATGTTTTAACCTATGAGGGCCAAGCAGTTTCTTTATTTTTTAACCAATGACCTTCCTCCATCAGTAGCTGAGAGTTTACATCTGATCCATAGGCAGCATGAAGAGAGAGGAAGGCATAGGACTTGGAGTGAGCTTTGGAAACCTCAAAGTCCACCCCACCCCCGTTGACACACCTCCTCCAATAATGTCACAGCTACTCTAAAAAGTCCACACCTCCTAATCCTCTAATCCTTCTCAGACAGATCTACATGCTCGTAACTAAGCATTTAAATATATCATTCTCATTCAAACCACTGTAATTTCTTTAAAATAAAATAAGAAATTAATATCTTTATGATTCAACCCAGGTCCAGTAATCTACATTTTGACATTTCCCTAACTTTTCATCATACTCCCCACTCCTTAGCATATACCTTTACATCGGGCACTTGCTTTTTGCCAATCTCGCCAGTGTTCAACTTAATAATTGTCAGAACAAGTTGTTCCGTTTGGAATAATAGCAATCACTTTGAGTGTGTTTCATGGGATTATTTTTTAAATTGTTTTTATTGACCTATACATTTTTCTCCATTTCCCTCCTTTTCTTCTCCCTTCTACCCTCTCCCATGATCCCCACACTCCCAATTTACTCAGATCTTGTAGTATTAGGGGCGGCGGGGCCTCTTCCCCAGCACCCCAGCACCCCTGCCCGGCTAGCTTATGCCCCGAAATAATTACACAGACACTGTATTCTTTTAAGCACTGCTTGGCCCATTCTCTTCTAGGCTAATTCTCACATATTAATTTAGCCCATTTCTAATCATCTGTGTGTAGCACCCCAAGGTGCGCTTACCGGGGAGATTCTAGCCTATGTCCATCCTAGGTCGGAGCTTCATCCCAGGAGCAGGGCATGGCGTCTCTCTCAGGCGTCTTCTCCCAAGAGGAGAGCTGTCGAGACTCTGACCTCACTTCCTCTTCCTCCCAGAGTTCTGTCCTGTCTACTCCTCCCACCTATCCTCTAACCAATAAAATGGGCCAGGGCAGTGCCTTTTTTAGCCAATGACCTTCCTCCATCAAGATCTTGTCTTTTTCACTTGATTATTTTTATTGTAACACTACATAAACTGGAATTCATAGGTTAGAAATGAACAAAATCAGCTCCTGTTAAGTACAGGCTTTGAAGAACTAGCCAAAAATATATAAGTAATATCTATGCAGTCATTCCCAATCTCAAAGGGAATAGAAGTGTTCTCTTATTATAGTTTTGTAGAAGCCATGAAAATGTGTACTATTCTGTGTTTCATACAATGGCTAAAACCTAATTATTGCTCATTCGTATAAATTTGGTAAAGGTTCCCCAGATCTAATCTAAAGGCTGTTGATTAAAGCAGAATTTTTTTTTTCTTATCATCCCCTCAACCCCTCTTCTTGAATTCTGGGCAGTCTAAAGACTCTCAGACACAAGCAGTCAGTTGGTAGAGAAAGGCCATCAATAAACAGTAGCTAGCCTGTGGCATTTTTCTGATAAAATATAGTCTTAAACAATAGAAAAAGTCAATGCTGAAAACTTGAGTAAAAATGAGAACTGACCAATCAGACACCTTCCCACATATCCCATTTATTTCTAAACATCCCTTGGGAAAGGAGGCCAAGAACTAATGAGAAAAGCTAAAGTAAGAAATGGGGAAGAATCATGCAACATTCCCACAAAAGCAGACTTTTAAAAATAGTCCAGGAGCAGAGAGGACAGAGTTGTTTTTCTGAACTTTATCAAAGTTTTAAACATATTGAAGATTCTTTGAAATCAGAATTGTAGAATTATCAAAATCTGAAGTCAGAATAACAACATTTAAAAAACTACAGCAGGCTGGGCAGTGGTGGTGCAGGCCTTTAACCCTAACACTTGGGAGGCAGAGGCAAGCAGATTGAGGCCAGCCTGGTCTATAAGAGCTAGGTCCAGGACAGGCTCCAAAATTACAGAGAAACCCTGTCTCGAAAAAAAAGAAATATTAAGAAATATTGCACAGATATATTTAAGGTCCAAGGCAACCATCTCTCAATTTTGAATTACAGACCACTGAGTAATTTGCAAATTATAAATAAATTGTGGATTTATTTAAAGTAGCTTCTATAGTTTAAACACAGAAGAGCTGGAGAGGTTCTTACATAGCAGTACCACCCAAGTCCTCTGACTTTAAAGGTTCTAGCAATACCAGTGTTTATTATAGTGGTATTTTATTTATGCTTTATAAATAAAGATTGCCTGAAGACCAGAAGGTAAAACTAAGTCACTAGAGGCCAGGAAGTGGGGTCACACACCTTTAATCCTAGGATTGGGGAAACAGAAGCAGATGGATCTCTGGATCTCTGTGAGTTCAAGCCCACCCTGGTCTACACAAGATCAACATAGTAGCAGATCCAGGTAGTAGTGGAAAATAAGCACGTATAAGACAGGAACTAGCTCTCTTTCAGTCTGAAAATTTCTTAGAGGTAAGAGCTCGCTAGTGACTTGGCTGTTTTGCTTTTCTGATCTTCAGGTTGAATCCATGTCTGTTTCTGAGTTTTTGTTATTTGTGATACAGTTTGTGCTACATTCACCCTGTTCTACAGTGAAACCTGCTGTGTACCCTTATTTCTTGTAAAGTCTGAAAACACTTTCCTCGTGCTCCTTGCACATTCGCCATCTTCAGAGCATAGCAACTATTCTGATATCAACTTCCTGCCTGCTTACGAGTTTCCTCTGGAATATTTTAGATATTTCTATCTTCCCATTGGAAAATGCTCCCATTGGACATAACAGGCAATATAACATGGTACCATTCTGGCCTCCAGTTACCAACACAGAGATGTTTGTTACTGCTTCAGACAACCTGGGATATGCCTATGAAGTTCAATGGCCAGGTCAGTGTTGTCAGCGAATTTTTACTGTGGTGTTCTCCGAAAGCAAATGTGTCATCTTAAAGGTATGGTCCTCACAGTGTGCTGAGCTTGGTGTGTTATATTAGATATGAAGGTTTCCCATAGATTCTTGTTTGGGAATAAAAATGTGGGAGTTTATTATTTACTGGGTACTCACTCTGACCCAGTAATGAGATAATCAAACACCACTCTATTTTATTTAATCTTCATACTCTTTAGAGGTATTTTACTTCTCATCTTGAAAATAACAAAACTGAAAATTTGAAGTTAATTCTAACATGAGAGAGGCTATGTTTCTAGCCAAGTTGAGAATGAGTTTTCGATTTAAACACCTGTGATGTCACCAGTTACTCATAAGACCATGCCACTTTCTTTTATCTATTAAAAGAAAAACACTGATTTTTGATATTTTAAAATTAAAGACCTTCAATTGTAAATTTTCCTCCACAAAAGTACCAAAATATCATGAAAGATCACCAAACTTGGGACTTGATGAAACGAGATTCCAAAACCAGCAATTCTTCCTATACCCATTGACCCTGCGCAGGGTCTTTATTGACCCTGCACAGGGTCTTTATTCTTTGAGTTGTCTTGTCTTCAACTTTGGAATAGCAATAACATTCATCTCATCTTATTTTTCAAACAGGTCAGGAGTTCACTATTTCTGAAATCATTACGATTGCTGTAGTGGCTGGACTGTTACTTGTGGCTGTCATCTTTATGGGAGTTTCCTGTCTGATCCGTTCTAGAAGGACCAAGAATGAAGCCAATCAGCCTCTTCTCACTGATCACTACCAACGCTATGCTGAGGAATACGAGGAGCTCCCAAATCCTAATCAGTCCATGGTCTGATAGCCGCCTGTCCGCTAACGCAGGAGGAACGCACACAACCTGATTGAAGCACAGTGATCACCCACTTTTCATTTTGCTCCCTTTCTTTCTTACATAGATGTGTGTCGGAATTAAAGCATTGCCTTTTGGGGATGAGAATTCAGAATCTTTTCAATGGGTTCTAATCATTGGCTCTGTTTAAGATGGCATATTGTACCAGCTCCATATTATCTAAGGGGATAATGTGATGAGCTTTCTTGTATTCTAAAGATTGCCTAAGGGCTGTGAATAAGCAATGCTTTGTGTGCACCGAAAAATAAGATGTAAAAATCTCTACTTCATTGTGTAAGTGGCCATTCTTATGTTGTCAGCATGTGAGTGCATTGCTATTTTGATACTGGTCAACAGAGATAAAGACAGCCATGTTGATTGGTTAAATTGCATTACTTTGTAAGCAAATAGGATCCTGATTAGCTTTCTGAAACTGCTCTTGTTTTGATGACAGCATATATTATTTGGGCTCAGGTGCAAGGTCACAACAAAGTCACAATTCTTGTCACACTTTGTAAAAACAAAAGCTGCACCTTGCTGGAACACAGCTTTTACTGCCTGTTTGCCACTGTGTTCCCACCGCCCCTGTCACAGCTCACCTCCCAATTCTAGTATCTAGGAAGTCTGCAGAGAAGGATTAAGACAAAGGACACTGTGTTGTGGATAACATCAAATGTATTCATTTCACTTCAGCAGCATTCTCTTACCGCTTGTCAGCCGTTTGTGTACTTCAAAGTAAATATAATAAAATCTTGTTACATTAGTTCTCATTTTCCAAAGATGTTTTTTTTTCTCTTTTCTTTTCTTTTCTTTCTCTTTTTTTTTTTTTTTAACAAAGTCTGACTCTGTTTCCCCAGATGGGCTGGAACTCTCTATATAGACCAGGCTGACCTAAAACCCACAGAAATCCATCTTCCTCTGCTTCCCCCAGTACTGAAATTAAAGATGTGTACCACCACATTTGGCCTTTACCTTGTAATCTAATATAATGTGCATTTTCTTTCCTTTTATTTTGTGCAATGAAACAATGTTCCAAAGATGAACTATTTGGGATAGCCATAACATATTCTACTAAAAATTTGTTAAAAGAAATAATAGTAATAATAATCATAACACCACAGAACACAGATGGTTTGATATCCCAGCTTAGGATACAGAAACAAGATTAAAGTTATACTCACCAGCTTTCTTTATTTCAAACAATATTTAGACAAAAATACATGACAGAATATGTTAAATAATACATATAAAACAGTGCTTTAAAGTTTCTCAGGTAGTATTATTAGGTTGATTCTCTTCAAACACAGCTTAACATGTTTAAATATTATACATTTATTTATAACATTTTAGAGATGTTATTACAAAATGTAAGTTTTTTAATAGACTATCAATGAAACTAAACAGCCTCATTTCATATTTTAGACAAGTTAATATTTAATCATTTGGGAACTTTCATTAATCACATACTTAATCTCAGGGTTAGATAAAGGTGCTATGAACTTCTGAAGAAAGTCGGGATTAAAAAAATTGAGAAGTTAAAATTTGACTTTGGCTTCAAGGCATCTCAACGAATTCACCAAATATAAAAGCAGAGAAGGGCATTTTCAGAATGACAGCACAGTGTTTTAACGCAACATAGAACATTCAAAAATCTGAAGTGGGTCAATGTGGCTACAGCACAGCCTTGATGGAAGAGAGTAGAAAGCTGATTGAGAATGAAACCACAGAGTGCCCTAAGTGCAATCCCGAACATTTTGTAACACATTCTACAAAAAAAGAGAAAAAAATGGGTGTGGGGGAGGTGTCACATGAGAGATGCATCTACAAAAATGATAGCTGTGGTAGAAATCTGCCAATAATACTGATGATAGGAGAGACCAGAAGAGTGGCTATGGAATAATTCATGGGAGAGAGAAGTCCTACCTGAAATACAGACATAAATAATCTCACTATGGGGCACTACACACTTTATCTTATAAATATAGCAAATTTGCTTCTCTGTTTTTTGTGGATGCTTGTAGTTATTATACAGTTCTATGAGGAGACCTTATAACTTTTCTTGACCAGATGGCCCTTTTTTGTTTTCTAAATAATGACGAATAATGTTCATTTACTGTCTTAGAGAACTGCATTACTAACACTCTTGGTGTTCTCTTACAAAGCATAGTGATGGCATTACATACTCATGAAAAAGCAAATTCCAAACCACTTAAAACCCATGCTTTCCTGAGGTGTTGGCTCAGTTCATGCCAGTGCCACAACTGAGCTCAGCTATTCTCTAAGCAAAGTGAATGAGAAACACAGGAGTCCCAGACTGGGCCACCAGGATCCGTGGTGCTTGCCTGTAACACCAGCATGACTACATAGTGATAACCTGGCCTCAGAGAGAGAGGAAGGAGGGAGAGAGAGAGAAAAGAGCTATGAAATTTGTGTGGCCCTCAGTTGCTATACATCCTGTCTTTATTTTCAGCAGCATATTTTAGAAATAGTGATATCGTTTTGCTTATTTTAATTTGTAAAATTGGAGGAAAGGGGGAAATTTTGAGACCTTTGAAATAAGTATTCCATGATTTGGCTATAAGATATTTGTTCTTCACAAAGTTCATGAGTATTCAATTATGTTATGTATTTTCATTTTTTACTGTATTCAGAACAAAATTGTTATTAACCAAACAACCAAGAAATGTAATATAAGATTGGGCAAAGATATGATATAAAATATGAAAATACTTAGTTTTTTTAATATTGGCAAACCAAGAATATGATTTATAAAAAGAGATGAAATTTAATGAGAAAAATATACAAAATATAGTGAACAAATGGAAAATACAAAGTAGAAGAAGATAAGAACTAACAAAATGTGCTCGCTTCGGCAGCACATATACTAAAATTGGAACGATACAGAGAAGATTAGCATGGCCCCTGCGCAAGGATGACACGCAAATTCGTGAAGCGTTCCATATTTTTCTTCAATATAGTGCTTGAAGTTCTAGCAATAGCAATAAGACAACATAATGGGATCAAGGGGATTCGAATTGGAAAGGAAGAAGTTAAACTTTCGTTATTTGCAGATGATATGATAGTGTACATAAGCGACCCCAAAAACTCCACCAAAGAACTCCTACAGCTGATAAACAGCTTTAGTAATGTGGCAGGATACAAGATCAACTCCAAAAAATCAGTCGCCCTCTTATACACAAAGGATATGGAAGCAGAGAGGGAAATCAGAGAAGCTTCACCATTCACAATAGCCAAAAACAGCATAAAATATCTTGGGGTACATCTAACCAAGGAAGTGAAAGATCTATTTGACAAGAACTTTAAGGCATTGAAGAAAGAAATTGAAGAGGATACCAAAAAATGGATGGACCTCCCTTGCTCTTGGATTGGGAGGATCAACATAGTAAAAATGGCAATTCTACCAAAGGCTATTTATAGATTCAATGCAATCCCCATCAAGATCCCATCAAAATTGTTCACAGATCTGGAGAGAACAATAATCAACTTTATATGGAAAAACAAAAAACCCAGGATAGCCAAAACAATCCTATACAATAAAGGATCTTCTGGAGGCATTACCATCCCTGACTTCAAACTCTATTACAGAGTTACAGTAATGAAAACAGTGTGGTACTGGCATAAAAACAGAGAAGTCGACCAATGGAATCGTATAGAAGACCCGGATTTTATCCCACAAACCTATGAACACCTGATTTTCGATAAAGGAGCTAAAAGTATAAAATGGAAGAAAGAAAGCATCTTCAACAAATGGTGCTGGCACAACTGGAAGTCATCTTGTAGAAGAATGAAAATAGACCCTTATCTATCACCGTGCACAAAACTCAAGTCCAAATGGATTAAAGACCTCAATATCAGCCCGAACACACTGAACCTGATAGAAGAGAAAGTGGGAAGTACCCTACAGGAGCTGGGCACAGGAGATCGCTTCCTATGTATAACCCCAGAAGCACAGACATTAAGGGCAACATTGAATAAATGGGACCTACTTAAACTGAGAAGCTTCTGTAAAGCTAAGGACATAGTCAATAAGACACAAAGGCAACCTACTGATTGGGAGAAGATCTTCACCAACCCCACAACAGACAAAGGTCTGATCTCCAAAATATATAGAGAACTCAAGAAACTAGACTTTAAAATGCTAATTAACCCAATTAAAAAATGGGGCACTGAATTGAACAGAGAATTCTCAGCAGAGGAAGTTCAAATGGCCAAAAGACACTTAAAGTCGTGCTCAACTTCCTTAGCAATCAGGGAAATGCAAATCAAAACAACTTTGAGATATCATCTTACACCTGTCAGAATGGCTAAAGTCAAAAACACCAAGGATAACCTTTGCTGGAGAGGCTGTGGAGGAACGGGTACCCTCATCCATTGCTGGTGGGAATGCCATCTTGTGCAACCACTGTGGAAGTCAGTGTTTCGGTTTCTCAGGAAATTCGGGATCAACTTACCCCTGGACCCAGCAATACCACTCCTGGGAATATACCCAAGAGATGCTCTATCATATGACAAAAGCATTTGTTCAACTATGTTCATAGCAGTATTATTTGTAATAGCCAGAACCTGGAAACAACCTAGATGCCCTTCAATGGAAGAATGGATGAAGAAAGTATGGAATATATACACGCTAGAGTACTACGCTGCTGTAAAAAACAATGACTTCTCGAATTTTGCAGGCAAATGGATGGAAATAGAAAACACTATCCTGAGTGAGGTGTCCCAGACCCAAAAAGATGAACATGGGATGTACTCGCTCATAATTGGTTTCTAGCCATAAATTAGGGCCACGGAGTCTACAATAGGTGAACCTAAAGAAGCTAAGTAAGAAGGTGAACCCAAGGAAAAACATATAGTTATCCTCTTGGCTAAGGGAAGTAGACCCAATTGCCGGGGAGAAAATTAGGATCTTGGGGGTGGGGTGGGATGGGGGTAAGGGGAGATGGGGAGAGAAAAGGTAGAAGGGAAGGAGGGGGGACTTGGGGAATCAGGAGAATTGGGATAAAGGAAAGGTGGATAGGGGAGCACGGAACCACAATTCTTAGTTAAGGGAACCACTTTAGGGTGAGCAAGAGATTTGACCCTAGAGGGGCTCCCAAGTGCCCAACATGAGGTTCCCAGTTAGTTCCTTGGGTAGCTGAGGATTGGGAACCTGAAATGACCCTATCCTAGAGCAATACTGACGAATATCTTGCATATCATCATAGAACCTTCATCTGGTGATGGATGGAGACAGAGACAGAGACCCACACTGGAGCACTGGACTGAGCTCCCAAGGTCCCAATGAGGAGCAGAAGGAGGGAGAACATGAGCAAAGAAGTCGGGACCACGAGGCGTGCACCCACCCACTGAGACAGTGGAGCTGATCTACTGGGAGCTCACCAAGGCCAGCTGGACTGTGACCGAAAAAGCATGGGATAAAACCGGACTCTCTGAACATGGCGAACAATGAGGGCTGATGAGACGCCAAGGACAATGGCACGGGGTTTTGATCCTAGTTAATGTGCTGGCTTTGTGGAAGCCTAGCCAGTTTGGATGTTCACCTTCCTAGATATGGACGGAGGGGGGAGGACCTAGGACTTACCACAGGGCAGGGAACCTGGACTGCTCTGTGGACTGGAGAGGGAGGGGGAGAGGAGTGGGGGGAGGGGTAGAAGGGTGGGAGGAGGGGGAGAAGGGTGGGAGGAGGGGG